ACAGTACTTTCCGTACCATTCTGCTGACTGTTTTCATGTTTATCAAATGCATCTATTACACAGGCAGTTGATCCTTCAGAAAACAGCTAGAGTGGCCACTTGTTAGAGAGTGTCCAAAAATAAGTGATGAATACTATGACCTATGATTTTTCTTTTGATCATTCGTCTCATTAAATTTTTTTGCTGGAAATCTATAAAGTACGTATGAGCCAATATTACTGTATTTCATTGAATCTAAGATGCCATCCATTGTAAGATGCTGTGTTATCTCCTATATTGCTTAAAAAACTGTCATTTAGTATGTTTTCTTATCATGTGACAGTTTACAGGCATCCCAGTTTTAAAGATACAAAAATATTTTTAAAAGTGCGTAATAGAATCTCAAATCTCTGTGTCTAGATGTGACTTTGCTTTGATTGCAAAGGTCAGTAGCGTAAATTCTGCTGTTGACAGTGTGAGTTTTTAATAAGGGTAACTAATGGTGTTACTGTGTCTTTGGAGCAAAGATTTATGCAGAACATGTAAAACATATGAATTATTCTAATAACCTACCATTTGGGATAGACTGAGAGGCTTTTCATTTTATGGTTAAACATTAGAAGTTCAAAGAAGACCATTTACAGTATAACATGATGTAGTGTAATAAATTTTGAACCTAAAATCTGAAGACCCAGGTTTGAAACCATACCCTATCCGTCCCTTACTCCGTGTGTAACACCAAACAAATTACAGTTTTTCTGAACCTCAGCTTCTTATGAAGTCAAAAAAAGATGAGGGTGCCAGATGGAGTGGCTGTAAACTCCAGAAAGGCATTTGTAGTTAGTAAACCGCTACACAAATGGGAGCTGATGAAATTCTCAGAGGCTTGCACACCATGGATCTCAGAAGGACCTTGAGAGGGAATTCAGAGAAGTCGAGGCCTGTGGAATGTGAAGGCCTTCTCCGGCACACAGGATCACACAGTGAGATGAGTGTACAGCTGACAAAGGAAGAAGGCTTCAGGAATTGAAAAGATGCTGTCTTGAGTAGGCAAGGTAGAAAAATATGACCATTGTGCATAAGTAAGTGCTGGGGTCTTTTGCAGTGACTTGAGTCTTAGCAGTTGGTTGTTGCTGTGTGCAAGTTCAACAATTAGGGTAGCTCATGGGAAAATGAAATCAGTTGATGAGCAAGCAACATAACTTTGGGGTAATTAAAAGACAAAAAATGACCTGTGACACACTCTGTTCGTACAATTTATTTTTAAGTACAATAAGCTATAATCCCAATTAATTCACCTTGATTTGGTTTCCATTGCTTTTGCGGTATTTTCTTTTAGTGCCTTATTGGAGGGAATTTTCTAAGTGTTCATATTTTGTACCTCTTTAAAGAAATCCTGTGAGTGATACATTTCCAAAGAATAATAAGAAAGCCTTTTGCCATTGCTCTAACAATAATGCTCTGAGAAGAAATTTGCTGTAAAGAAGATAGGTAGTTTTGTTATAATTTAGGATTTTGGAAGAGATGAGCAAAATTGGAAATAAATTAACAGATGAACAACATACCTGGGGATGGGGGCTGGGGGTTCCAGAATTAGGACTTCATTAAATCTGAATCCTTGTCCAGATCTGAATCCTTGTCCACTCTACCAAATTAACAGGTGAACAACATACCTGGGGATGGGGGCTGGGGGTACCAGAATTAGGACTTCATTAAATCTGAATCCTTGTCCAGATCTGAATCCTTGTCCACTCTACATTAAGTACAAAGGGAACTCTGAGTGACCCATGATCATTTTGTGGGTTAGTGCTTACTGCTAATAAGCCCAAGTCAGCAGGGGTACAAGATTTAGGGGCGCTCCACCTGACTCACTTTGTGCTAGGCCCCGTTGCTGTGTCTTCTTAGCCTGGCCACTTCAGTTCACTTCCCTGGGTCTCAGTTTGCATGTTTATAACAAGAATGGACCAGATTGTGATGACATATGGGCTTTGGCTTCTTCCAAGACTGTCTTGCAGTCATTGCCAATCCCTTAGGACACATAGCCTCCAGATCTTTCTCATTCATCCTCAGGCCCCTAGGCAGCCACTTGTACTTGACTGCAGTTAGAAAGTGAAATGAACTCTATTTTCCATTTTATGGACCACATGATTTCTGTGGTCCTCTCGAATATTTATCATTTTCAGATTTTCTGGAATTCCTAAATCCTGGCCAGCCATCTTCCAAAAGCACTTTATTAGAATAGTTTCGATAGCTGTGAGGAAGTGGAGAAGTTGAGGAAAATTCATGGTTCCTGGCAGAAAAACAATCTGGCCTGCAAGGGCATAATAGTGTGTTCCACTCTTCATTCTGTATGTGAGGGACACTATGCAGTTATAACATCTAAGGCTTTTTAAAGCCAGAGGCAACCAAATCCAGGCAGCAGGCAGAGGTTTTCTTCAGAGTTATCACAAGTAACTTTTAGGTGCTTCATCTCAGGTCCTGGCCTCCCAGTGTGGGGACATTCTGAGTTTCTCAGGGCAAGGGTAGATTGGCTGTTTTTGTTCCAACCAAGTACAACCCATTTGCAGCGATTATATTGCTCATGAATTGTACTAATAGAAAACTGGCAATCTGGAGAGGAAAGAAATGTACTTTGTCCATTGCCTTATTTAGTATTAACATTGAGTTTTTCATTTAACCACAGTTCCTGTGTGTGAGGTCTCACCAACTAAGGCGGTGTGCAGAGCATTTATGTTAATGTTAGATCCCGTGTATCCTGATCCTTTGGCTGTTACGATTGTGTCCTACCTAAGTGAGAGACATGACGACGATGACGCTGGTAGTGACAAATCCCCCTGGATAAAGTGGTTCTCAGTAATAGCTGTCTTCCCATTTGCGGTTATTTTTTCATGGATCCCTTTAAATTCTTCATCAGCACTGGTTTGTGGATGGGATAGAGTACACAGGGATGAAACTTTTTTCTATTTATTTTTCTTGGTGCTTGCTTTCCTGAATGCCATTTTCACCTTTCAGGTTGGCTTTATAATGGATTCGTTCCCACCACTCCACTCCTGGCTGCCTCCTGCCAAAGCACGTGCACATGTTGTGTTACTCTGTGCCCCCATGAGCTGTAGCTGGATCAGATGCCGGCGGAGTGACTGTGACTCCTCAGACAGGGCTCCAGACCCCTCCCCCATTCAGATGCACATATCCTTTGGCTTCTTGAAAAGAAGGATTAGCCCAGGTTGTGTCCTCCTGCAGCCTCCACATGCCCTATCCCTGTCAGTCCAATGTCTGGAGCTGGGCTTCCTCATTGTTTGCCTTTGAAACCCTGGTCTTGGCAGCTGTTGAATGCCTCCATTGTCCAGACATGCTGCCAGAACTTGAGCCCAGCCCTCTGTCCCTAGGAATCCAAGTAATAACTTAATAGCCTCTGGCTTCTACCTGGCACTCTCTCACAAGAGCATTGTGAGTTGCAAAACACCCAGATGGAGAGGAGCAACTTATCTTGGGACTGTCACAGTACTCCTTGTTCCTGAATCAGGTGCCTTCTTAGCCTGCATGTTTACTGAGAACTGAGGCTTTAGACAACCCTCCTCACCTCCACCCCATGGAGAATTTGACACAAAGGGGTGAAAATCAACAGCATCTGATCTTCCAGTGAAAGCTGGGGAGTCAGCATTAAATCTGTTGATACATATGCACATGTATAAACACACATATGTTGTCCTTTAATTCTGGGCCTCTTTCACAAATTAGTTTTCTCAACTTCAGTTTGGGTTGTCTCCCAGTATGTCCAAAGCTAGTTGATATCTCTTAAGTGTTTTATAATTTTTCCCAACCAAATTTGAAGGCTTACACGTTTTCACTTTAGGAAAATACCTGACTT